GAGTGTCCCTTTAACCTTGCCTCATCTGTCCCCTTCCTTTATTCTAAAACACTATTTTCTTGGTGATCTTTGTATGTGTGCATAACTCCCTTACTGTCACTTGATGATAATAGACTGCAGTCTCCAATAACCCAGCTGAACATATCATCAGTAAATGCTGTAAAAGCTCCTGAATGGAATTAAAATACATTTGAAATACGAGTCCTAGAAAACTCTGCTCTGAGCAGATTGGAGTCTATGTACAACATTTGTTTTGATAAACCTTTAACTGTAACCCGGTATTTCAAGGGTTAAAATATAAACATTCTCAGAAATTTTAATTCCATTGACAAAAATGGGAAAGTCCAAAACAATCTGTGAATTATCGCTTTCAAATGATAGCATATGATTTAGGCCTATGTTTGCGTATTATGGAACAATTCATTACATGAATCCCTTAATCATTGTTTATACATGCATTCTAATATAAGTCTCCCAAATGTCACACTATTGCAAGGACAGTCCCTTTTTGGAACTCGGCCCAGTTGGAACTCCTTTTGGGTGGAGGGCAGTAGGGCCATATAGAGAGTGCTACAGCAGAGCTCTCTACAGGAGTTTCTGTATAGAAGACTGATGTGCCCCTTCTGTGGGCAGTCTTGTCTCTTATTTAGGACTTCCAATTTGGGTGCAGTCACGCTCCCTGCCCATCCTGTCCCAATCGGCATACCTTCCAATGTTGGGAGGTACGGTAGAGTTAAAGTGCTATTTTAATTCAGTGGTGTCATTACTAGTCCCATTTGTTCTTCATTCAACTCGTAAAGGGATCCGAAGCACCAACATTTGAGCTTAACTTCTGTAACTGGGAAAATATTTGAAGGGCTATTAAGGGATAATATTCAGGAATTCATTGGGAAGAACTTTGTTATTAGCAATAATCAGCATGGTTTTATGAAACATAGGTCATGTCCAGGGGCGTTTTAGCCACAAGGTAAACAAGGCATTTGCCTTGGGCGGCATTTTCCAGTGGCCGGCAAAAAAAGCCGCCCCCCAAATGCCCAGGGCAGATGCCTTGTTAGCCTTGCGGCTAACTAACATGCTGGGCTGGGCGGGCGGCGTTGACGGGCGGGCGGCTGGCGAGGGAGCTCTTCCTCTGAGCAGAGTGCTCAGGGGAAGTGCTCCCTCGCCAGCCGCCTGCCCGTCAACACCGCCCGCCCAGCAGCCACTGGACCCCAGGGAGATAGAGAACCCCTTCCCCCCCAGCACTCCCAAAGGTAAGGAGGGGGGGGGGGTTAAAAAAAATATGTGTTAATGTGAGTGAGTGAGTGTGTATGTCTGTTAGTGTGTGTGTGTCTGTTAGTGTGTGTGTCTGTTAGTGTGTGTGTGTGTGTGTCTGTTAGTGTTTGTGTGTCTGTTAGTGTGTGTGTGTGTCTGTTAGTGTGTGTGTGTGTTAGTGTGTGTGTGTGTCTGTTAGTGTGTGTTTGTGTCTGTTAGTGAGTGTTTGTGTCTGTTAGTGTGTGTGTCTGTTAGTGAGTGTGTCTGTTAGTGAGTGTGTGTCTGCTAGTGTGTGTCTGTTAGTGAGTGTGTGCTTGCCAGTGAGTGTGTCTGTGAGTGAGTGAGTGTGTTTGTTTGTGTGTGTGTCTGACTGTGTGTGTATGTTTGCCTGTGTGTGTCTGCTAGTGTGTGTCTGCTAGTGAGTGTGTGTCTGTGTGTGTCAGTGACCATTTATAAACATAGCAGTTTTTCTGAAACTGCTATGTTTATAGAAAAAAGGGTTAAACCTAGCTGGACCTGGCACCCAGACCACTTCATTAAGCTGAAGTAGTCTGGGTGCCTATAGTGGTCCTTTAAGCATGCGTGGGATAGGCATAAGGCTATCCTAACTATAAGATAAGGCCAGGGACTAATGAAAGTATTTAGAAAATTGGGCAGACTAGATGGGCCGAATGGTTCTTACCTGCCTTCACATTCTATGTTTCTAGACACGAAATTGTGTTTTAATTATATGTTTATATACTATTCATCTCATATATCAAATAAATGGCATACTAATATCTTTTTAAAACAAAATGTGTTTAGTGAAGGGGTTAATTGTTTGCTAGTGCACAGCAGCCTCCTGTATGAGAGGCTGAAAGAAGAAACAAGCCAGGGGAGAAGCACATTTTTATGACTATGTTATTTAATTTGTATAATATCCAGTATTTAATTATTCAGTAATGTTATGTATTTTGTTTACTAATATCTCTTCTTGTGTATATTTTTTTTCCATTTACAAATGAGCTCACTATGTTCACTGCTTCTCTGAGATGCATTGACTCCTCCGTGCAGAGCGTCATGCAGAGCGTCACGTTGGAAGCACTGCCCCAGGAAGCACCTCTAGTGGCTGTCTGAGTGACTGCCACTCGAGGTGTCCGTAGGCAGCAATATAAACACTGCCTTTTCTCTCAAAAGGCAGTATTTACTGCAAAACGCCTGCAGGGACTGACTATTCTCACCAGAACAACTATATTAAGCTGAGTTTGTTCGACTGACTGTAGTGTCCCTTTAATTTAATCTGGTCTCAAATTTGTAGGTCACTTTTAATTTACTTAGAATTTCAGACAATTTACACATTAGTAAATAACCCTGTTAGATTTATGTGAAATCTTTTTTTTTTGTTAGTAATTATATGTTGTACTTAGTTTTAATGCATTGCATAGATATTTCCTTTATAGATACTTTATGAAGTATTTATAGATATACTTCAGTAGTGCAGCACAGATCATCATAATTAAATACTATTATTTTATAGCAACTTTGGAATCCAACACTCTCAGGCGGCACTCCTTATACTTCATACCTATCCCAACAGCATGTTCTACTCTGTCCAGAGATGCATGACCCCGACAGATCGAAATATGAAAAAAGAAAAGCGTTTTGCAAACAGAAACTCCATACAAATGATTACCTTGGGCAAATAGTCTAATTCTTGCAGCAAAATATGTGACTTTTTGTTTGCTTGTTGTGAATGTGAGTGTTTTCCCACCCTGATACACTTCCTGTTAAAAGGTCAGGGTGGGGTATTTTCTTATGGATAAGGAAGGCTGGTCCTGGTCAATTTAGAATGAGATCATATTATTGGAGACAATTTCACAACAGCTCAGTTCAATACGTAGTCCAAAAAAATGATGATGGGGTGTCCTTGGGTTCAATGTACATATTTATGAAATGTTTTAAAATCTCAACCCCACAATATATACATTGCAGTATCTCTGAAACTTCAATGTTTTACATTGATTCAATGCTTTCCATTGTGGGATTTAAAGATGCTGGTCCTGATGCAATGCGTGTGGATGTCCAGGGTCGTTTCAACGGGTCAAACTCTGTGAAACAGCAGCAAGCACCCCTAGTTGCCGTCTGGGAGTCACTACAGTCACGACAGACTGTTAAAACCCTGCAATATTAACATTGCAGTTTCTTTGAAACTGCAATGTTATAAATTGCAGGTTTAAAGGGCCAGGGACACTGCACCCAGACCACTTCACTGAGATGAAGTTGTATGGGTGTGTATAGTGTCCCTTTAAGTTAAGGTGCCTATAGTGTCCCTTTAAGTTAGGGTCCCTATAGTGTCCCTTTAAGTTATACAATTCTATTAAAATGACCTTGAATAACTTACAAATAGATATGAAATAGGAATAATATAAATTATTTAATGCTGAAAAAGTTTCCTTTAAAACCAGTTAACTTTAGATAAATATTTCCTCTGCTTCTGTTGGCATTTCTGTTCTTTTAGAATAATCTCACACTTTAAATATAGTAAGGGATCTGTTTGCTATACAGGGAATTACGGTGACTTGGCAACCTTCTTATAACATTCGAGCCAGTAAAGCAGTTGCAAAAAAACTCAAAATCAGTAAAATTGGAGATATATTTTTCCATATGGTATTTTTTTTGCTTGGCAACTCTTGCAGACCTTTACTATATTTTATTTATTGTCACTGGAATTCTAATATTTTGTAAGTTAAAAATTACGATGACTTTTTTGATTTAAAAGAAGATAATGAGGATTTAAAATATAATGGCAGAAAACAGAGTAGTATATGTAAAAGAGATGAATCAATATTTTGTCACCAAATATATATTTTTTTAACCAAAAATATCCATAGGATTGTGTACCAATATTCACATAGAACTGTGTAGCATATTATTACGTACATATGTGAGTTTTTATTCAAAAATGTTCTAAAATCACACTGCTATATCAGTAGCACAAATACAGCAAAATTAGCAACTAGCACTGTAACATTTATGCAATGTGTACATATATAATAATATCTATTTGTGTGCTTGCTCCTTATTATCTGAAAATAAAAACTGTTAATTAAATTAAAAAAAATTAAAAAACAATTAGATACTATATAGAACATATATGCTAGCAGCCAATTTGAAGGGTGAGTCAAGTGCAAAAGAACCTATCCCCAACATTTTGGTATAAATCCTTTCTCGAGGGACATGCCAGTCAGTCCACCACACAATTGGTCAATTAACTATTTGCCCGCTGGGTACTAGTGCTGCCAGCAGGGATATCGTTTTTCATTTTTTCAGTTCACTTGCAAAAAGCCATGCGGTTGTTGATAAATCTCTGATTCCAGTACTCTAAATTGGTTTGGATGCATAATTCACCAATTTTCCGAAGGAATGTTACAGAATAGGTTGGACTGACCGAATCCTGACCGTATTTGGCTTTAGTAAATCTGAGACTTGGCAATTCAGTCGGATTTCGGGTTGTTTAGCCTGCATATTATATAAGCATGTGGGGAGTGCTTTATCGGTTTGCACCTTGGCTTGATGAATTATTTGTGTGCCCTCCATTAACTGGTTTGATCTGACACATAACACATATCTTTAGGGCATTTTTGCCATATTCCTTATGTAGGTGTCTAGTCATTATGTAATATAGTAAATAGTGATGTCCCGAACGGTTCGCGAACGGTTCACCACGAACTCATCGTTGAGTAAACTTTGACCCTGTACCTCACAGTCAGCAGACACATTCCAGCCAATCAGCAGCAGACCCTCCCTCCCAGACCCTCCCACCTCCTGGACAGCATCCACTAAGAATGCAGCTTGAAGCTGCATTCTTAGTGATGCTGTCCAGGAGGTGGGAGGATCTGGGAGGGAGGGTCTGCTGCTGATTGGCTGGAATGTGTCTGCTGACTGTGAGGTACAGGGTCAAAGTTTACTCAATGATGAGTTCGGGCGAACCGTTCGTGGCGAACCGTTCGCGAACTGTTCGGCCAACCGTTCGGGACATCACTAATAGTAAATAAATTGCAAAATAAACAGCTTACCCTAAAAACTGCAGTCTCTGTGATAAGAAACAGTTTTCACTCTACCTTGTTTAAAGAGACACTACAGACCCCTAAATCGTGCTGAAATGTGATGAAAAAATCGTGATGAAAAAGTGTGAAGAGTGGGTCTTCTTTTTCATTTCCCAAAAAATTCAGATTTCCATAGAAATTGGCACTTTTATATACTGACCATGTTACAATCCCCCGGCTGTCAATCAGAAAACCTGTCCTCTTAATTCCTGCTTTGGCTAGCTCAGTAGAGCTAATCTCAAGAGGCAGCAATTGCTCAGAGCACCTGCCTTGCAAAGACTTCTCATTGTGCTGCATTGGGGACTCTGTGATTGGACAGCGACAGAAAGTTTGGGTGGGGTTAGAATGGCAGGACTTGGAAATGCTGCAGAGAAGCCATCTGAAGCTTTTTAAAGCTTTTTTTTTTTTTAGCTATGCCCCAATGAAAACATTATTTAATGCGTGCATGTTTTTATTGGGGGTATATCTACTAAAGCTTAATTTTTTGGATTTGGGCAGTGGAGTGTCTCTTTATGTACACCTTTCCATTGGTATACACCACTTCTGTTACAATTTTCCAACAGGCAGTTACTTGTGGTCATCAAGACCACAAAACCACCCAGGAGAAGACCCTACTAAAAGTAGGATGAGACAGTCCAAAAATGAATTTTAATAAATTGATAGAATTGTTTAATTTGAAAGAAGTCTGGATTTCTGCCCCTTGTCAACCTTTTAAAATAACTCTCTAGTTAGCTGTAGGCAAACTGACTGATCTGTGCCGTCTCATACACAGCACGCCGTTTAACGTTAAGAGGTCCATTGTTCCTGAGATAGATCACACATCTGTTAACAGCAGCTGGAAAGCAAGCGAACATTTCACCTTCCACTACCTAATTGTGGATATATTGCATTACAGATGGAGTTGCATACAATTGACTTAGATGTTCTTTTGTGTCAAAAAGTTAGTTCATAACGACTCGAATGATATCCTCACAAATGTTTGCAATTCAAAATGTTGCAAAAGGCATAAATTACTCAAATGTGATTAATGTTGGTTAGTTTTTCGATTCAGAGCCAGGCCTCATATGTTGCCGACATTGGCACGTACATAGTTAAGTAAAAGGCTTAGTGTGTTTCTATAAAACCTGCAGGGTGCATATCTCTGTCACTCCAGCTGTTCTGGAGCTTCAGCTTGCATCACGCATTCTGCAGTCTTTTCATTTGTTAGATACAAATGGTGTTGAAGTGCCAAAACAGCTGCAGTAGAAAGGTTGCTTAACCCCAACGATTAGACTTTACTGGAGAATTTGATGTGAACTGACCTCGGCAGTTGTAAAATCAGGACTGAATGTTTTGGCTACAAAATTAAACCAATTGGTTTGTAATTCCTCCTTCGATGCCCATATATTTCCCCTGTAACTGTGTGACGGGGCCGCATATAAAAAACAACTAAGGACTATTTGCGCAAAGACTTAAAAAGTTTTTGATTGCTAAAACAGAGCTTCAGGTGTGTTTCAGGTTACATTACATTGACCTAAATGCTCAAACATCAACATGAAGGCCTGTCTCTGTGTCTCTATCGGAAAGATGGAAAAGATTAGGGATGGCTTATTTTTATTCCTTCATCCATCCATACGTATATTATGGTTTGTGCCAGGCTCTTCAGATCTATGGGTTTGGTGATGGGCTCAGATGCATATGTTCACCACGTGAACACACTCAATAATACCATTCCTCATCCACATTTACATGTCGGGACCACTTTTGACTTTAGAGAGAGGGAAAGATCATTATTAATATCCTCAGGGCTTTACATAAGACAAGGGTATCTACCGTGACTCTTGAGCTGTTGTGGAAATGTTACAAACCATTAAACATTTTCTATGGGTTCTAGGGGGAGAATGTATATATAAAGAAGCACTTTGACTTGAGAGGACTTATTATTCTCTTGTGTAGATCCCTTCCGGCGATATGACTGCAGGAATGTATGCACCTGTGGTAGGGTGAGAAGGGAGATGTACTTACCTAATGCTATTTCTTATTCTGCCATACATGGACTTATACTTAAGATCATGTAGTCCCTTTTTGTAGCATATCTTTTGATTTAATTGGAATTCCATTTCAATCTCATTTTTAAACCAGTATTGCTAAATTATGTTCCTTCGATGTTCCACCCATCCTGTCCTGATTACATATCTCCCTGTATTGCGAAGAATTTAGTAAGGAAGTAGATAATAAATATTTATCTCAGTGAGTCGGAGTGTTTATTCTGTTACATTTAGCACAACATTTTTCAAGTTTTGCTTTTAGAATAACAAACTGGATAAACTAGATAAAAAATATTTCAAATCTATTAAATATTTTTTAAAAAACCACCATATCCAGTGCTGGAAATACCCCAACCTCCATGTTTTTTCAGCAGTTGAGGACTTATTAACTCATTATCTGATAATGGTTAGTTAATGTGATACAAAGATTTAACTCTACTACGTTATTTACTCGAATTTCCCCTTTGTAAAGGCTTCGGTTAAGTGTCTAGATCAAACTAATTAACCTGCAATTAAAGGAACATTGCAAGCACCATAACCACTACAGAGCAAGTTCCCTGGCCCTCTCTCCATTGTAGTTGTCAAATCACTTTAAAATGCTTTGTTCCGTCTCCACTACTTGTTACAGAGAGCTGGAGCTTAGGCCATTCCTAACAGTATTGACTAGTCTCTCTCAGCCAATGAGCTAAGCCCTGCCCTGCACTGAGATTTATGCTGGACTTGCTCCTTCATCTTGCATCCTTATTCCTTATTCCTTTATTCTTCACGCAGTGAGCTGCATCACCATGGGCATTTCAGACACTACGGGTATGTTCTCTCCATTATTACAGTTTGAGTAACGCATATTTCATGGTTGGTAATTTCAAAACCACAGTCTGTCATTACAAAATGTAATCTTTCACGATCCTCAGGTTTTCCCCTGACACGGCCACAGTTGTGGAAATAATCAGGATTCCGTTATTTTATCTAAGTCTCACTCTCTCCCAATCTTCATGAGTCATTGATGACCGTAATGAATACTTCAGGAGTCTCACAGTCCTGCAGTGTGAATAAGAGAAACTTTGGGGCTATTCAGTTAGCATTGCGTTATTATGACTTAAGAACTGGTGTGGGTAAATCCTAAAATCCACTCATTTTTTAATATTTGGTCATTTTAGTCCATTCTCAAGGTACCACAAGGCACTGCTGAGTGAATAAAAATCAAGTCCCATCATCCTTTACCAGCTTATAATAGCTTAAGATGTATGACGGTGGTTTTATTTGGTAGTGAGTGAGTTCAGGTTGACTGGTTCCCATTGCTTTGTTTTTCAGCTGACATTACCTTCATTAATATTCAATATTAAAAGCCATTGATTCTGACCACCTTTTTCTCACCCAGAGTACTTTGCTGCTATATGGCTTCTGACAGGGTTATTCACCAAAGTGAGAATTCAAAATGAATTACAAATTTAAGGTTATGCTTCCAGTTTGACTGCTCTGGTTTTAAATGTAAAATTTGCTTTGAATTCTAATGATAGTGGATGATTCTTTGGATGTTTACTAAGCCATACGAATGGATGCTGCACATATCACAGAGACACAAGTCATTTCAGCTAATCTTTTTAAAGGGACACTATAGTCACTCAGACCACTTCATCTCAATGACGTGATCTAGGTGCCGTGTCCCTGTCCCTGTCCCCTTAACCCTACAAATTATTGCAGTTTTTGAGAAACAGCTATGTTTACATTTCACGTGATGCGGAAGTCCCATAGGAGAGCACTGATTCAATGCTTTCCCAAGGGAACGTTTAAATGCATTAGGTCCCCAATGCTTCTCTATGAGGAGCATTGGATTGAACCATTGTAGACGAGACCATGCCTCCTCCGTGACGACGCTTGAGAAGGAGAGCTAAGCAGCACCAAGGAAGCCTCGGCAATAGGAAAATGCAGACACATTTTTATTTATTTTTACATTTTTGTGCACCGGGAAGGACCTGACTACAAGGAGGGTCTGGAACACTGCAGAGTGAGTAATACAGAATTGTATTTCTAACACTGTTGTGTTCCTTTTACTGCATTGCATGCTTTTCAGTCTTCAAACCTGGAAGTATTTTTAAATGCAAGACACCTGCCAATATTTAAACATACTAGTCTCTACATCTAGATGAACTTATTATGTTAAAGTTGTTTCATGAAGGACAGATGGTAAATGCAGGTGTTTCTACACAAAAGTATTGTGCTCTGGATTAACATTCATTTGCTATAAAGTAAATTGTAGTTAAAACTGAGTTGATGAGTCAAACTCTAAATAGGCCATCTGAAAATGTATCTCCAATAAAGTTCTCTTTCAAAGGTCCTTCTTAATTTGTGTAATGTGTTCTTACAGGAATCTTAAAGGGGATAAAGTGACCCCCATTTTAATGCATTGTATCCAGTGGTGGAACTAATGTAGAGAGGGCCATTGTGCAAGGAATTTTTAGTTCCCCCTGTAGCACAATGGTGGCCGAAGGTAGATCTTCAACTATTGTACAACTACAACAAGGCTTTGCCAGCTGTGGATCTACCATTTGCCCATCCTTGTAGGTGTATTTGTGAGCAGTGTCTTTGTGTTTGAATGTTTTTGTATGGAGTTTGTGCATTTTGTATGGAGTATGTGTGTACTTGTGTCCAGTGTTGGCGTTTGAATGCAGGGGCATGTTGACATTTGATCGAAGGGGTGTGTTTGGGTGTAGTGTTGATATTTAAATGCACTGCTGTACTTGTACGTAATGATGGTGTTTGAATGGTCAAATGTATGCACATTTATACATACACTGGTAAACACACA